GGAGAGTAGATGGGCTCAACCCACCGGCAAAAGCATGAAGACTGATTGTTAATAAGGATGGGCTCTCAAGAGGAGTATCTGGTTGAGGTGAATCCGAAGGTGGAGGAGAGTTGTCGAAAATGGTGTTATCAGTGGGATTGTCCTCAGGCAAGAGGAGAAAAAGTTGTGGCTGAGAAGAACAACGATGACCTTTCTGATATTTTTCATCACAATTAAAACAAAGGTTAAGTTCCCGTTTGCGTTGTATTTCTGCCTGTGTAAGTTTTTTGAAAGGAACGCGACCTACACCTGGTAAAGAAGCAGACGGAGAGTGAGAAGAAAGAGAAGGGGGCTGGTTCAATTTAGGATATGGTGTGGTTTGGTGGGTAGGGGAAAAAACTGGTGGTTTGCTAAACGAAGTGGGCCGGGGCGAAGACTTGGGTTGGGCCATATGCTTCTGCTCCTGTAAAAAAGCCAGCCCAATGGCTTCGTTCAAATCTACTGGGCGAAAAGACAGCACATCTGCTTTAATATCTGGGTGAAGCCCAGAAGTGAAGCAATGTTTCAGCATCGGCGGGGACATCTCCGTCGTCCGATTGGCCAGTTTTTCGAACTGTGATAGATAGTCATGGACAGAGGTTGTCATTTGCAATTTGGCGAGTAAACTCTCGGGTGCCTCCAGTGATTTAGTGCCAAAGCGATGCACTACAGCTTTGAGGAAGTGAGACCACCCACATAACTGGCGATTTTGGTACATCCACTGGTACCATTCCCTGGCCTCTCCCTCTAGAAAGAAGGAACAGAGTTCCAAGCGATCCTCATCGGCAACATGATACCTGTCAAAATATTGATTAGCCTGGAGGGTCCAACTCTCCGCGTTGATTCCGTCAAATTTAGGTAAATCGATTGGAGCTGGTTTGTCGCGTTTGAAAGGCAAAAATGGTTGGTGGGCAAGTGGGAAGATTTGGTGTTGTGGTTGTTGGGGAAGAGTGGAGGTCGGGAAAGATACAGAATATGGTTGTTGGGAGAAGGTGGGAACAGGGGATGGTGAAGAGTATTATGGTTGGTAAGAAGCGTGGGGTGGAGGGGTAGAGGAAGAACTTGGGTTTGATGCTGTAGGGTTGATGGTGGTCGGTGGTGGTGCCGGCGGTGGGCGGAGAGATGCTAGTTGAGAAACAATGTCGTGAAGGACAGTCTGCATCGACTCCATACTCTTAGTGTGTGAGGCAGAATCAGCTTGGAGCTGCTTGACAGCTTCATCAAGGGATTTCAACCTGGTATTGTGAGCACCGTCACCCATTTGGAGAGAAGGTTCAATGAAAGCACCAAATGTAACGATGGAAACTATATTAAAGTTGAAGGGATTTACAGACCACAAAAGAGGGGTCTGTTCCTCTACTTTCTGGAAATTCTAAAGGCAAAAAGAAAGGGAAAATTGAGAAAAGGGAGGTTCCAGATCTATAATTCTATGAAACAAGAAAATAAGCAACTTTAACCATCCCTTTTTGAGCTGACTCCTCTCCTATATATATTATTCAGTGCAGGGTTGTCTCTTGTCATCTTCTCTAACGGTTTGGCAGAGATTGATTCTCTTGGGATCTGGGACCACATAGTGGTCGAGGTATTTAGGTGGGTCTTTCTCTCTGTTGCTGCGCCTAGGACCTTGTGGTGTGCCGTGCTGAGTTGTTACAGCTACAGTTGTGAGTTTATTGGGAACAGAGTCAGACCATCTTTATCAAGAATATGAATATCTGCTTGAATCACATACTTCCCTTAATGGGTAACTATTAGTGCTAACAATGCTGTTAAAGCTGCTGGTCGTCAAGTCGCTGACTAAACAACAAAAGGTACATCATATGTTAAATTTATGTGATGCAAAAATAATCAAGAAAAGGTTCCTCTATTAAAAGTGGTGGAAACTCGAACCATGTTATACAATGATCAATGTTTAGTAAAAATTTTGCAATGTTAAATGTAGCAGTGTTTGCATACATCCAACAATGTTGACTATGTTAGATGAATTTGTCAAGTTACTAGTAGGCATTGGGCATGTAGAGCTAGCAGTTACTGCAGCACAAATCATTTTGTACGTGCCACCCATGGCAACACAATTACAAGGGAAATAATACTTATAGAATACTTATTGTTTTTTTTGCTGGTCTTGCTTTATAGTATGGTAAAAGGGTAATTGAATGGAATTGATCTTAGAAAGAAAAAAAAAACTCTGTTTTTGTTTATCAATCAACCAATAAACTGTGCTTCAATATTAGTTGAAGCCGGTCATATAGATCCCCCGTATTCTTGACAAATTAATGTAACTGTTCTTCCAGCAACACTCCGCTAGTGCACAACATGGTAAAGCCAAATCCAACCAGTCAACCACGTCATCAATTTATATGTTTGACACCACATTATGGAAAAGATAAGTTAGCAAAACCAATATGGCTACCCTCTCCTATTGGCAATCCAGTGGTCCAGTCTCGACCACAACATACGACCAAAATCTTGTCCTTCTATGAGCAATTAAACAACAATTTCGATCTTCGAAACAAAGTTTTGAATAAACATGCTCCAACTTTTTTTTTTTTTTTGATAAAATAAACATGCTCTAACTTTGTTCTCCATTATTCATCTCATGCACCATCTGGCAACATAGAAACCCACTCTGAAGTATGTTGAACACGAGGGGAAGAAAAGGAAAGAGGGGATGGGGGGGGGGGGGGTTACACCATAGAAACCGTTTCGTTTTATCTTTGGTAGTGGGGTTGCAACTTGAGTAAGACAAAGCAGCGAAACATATAACAGAAACAGGGAAGAACGCAAAGGTTAAAAATGTATACAATAAGTCACATTGTTAGAACAAAAGACAGATTATGACTGGATGATTAATTACAATGACAGAGAGCCAGACTCAAAACCAAAGCTATGACTGCTTAATAGGTAAGCCAAACCTCCATGAAAACCTATCTGAATTTGGGTTCATAGGGTGACACAGAATTAAGCTATTGTCATGCATCTTTTTATTCCTTTATTCCCGTTAGGGTGGGAGTCGCAGCAGCAGCACCTTGCAGATCAGATAACGAGAAAGACCTCCATGAACTGAATTTCTGTTCCGGAGGAAATGATGAGGACTCATTGCTATATCTTCGTGATTGCGGAGGCAGAGGAGGAAGAGCGAGACAAGGTGATGATGGGCTTGAGTTCAAAGACTCGGAACTATTATAGCTGTCAGAGCAGCTCATAGCGGCAGCAAGGGCTGATGAGCTTCTAGAGTTGATTGGTCTTTTGTACATCCCACCATTACCAATACTTGGGATGCGACTAGGATTTTTGCCAAAGAAATTGTTGTGAGCAAGCAGGTTCTTGCGTTTCCTGGTGTATGCATCCTCCGGCTTGACAATTTCTTTAACAGATGAAATTGATGCCGCATCAGCTAGACTGGTAAAAGATTTCGATTTACCAGCATAAAACTTTGAAATGCTCCTCCTGGGAAAAGGCAGATGGGCATAGTTAGTGCTCAAGACAATAGGACAAACAGATTGCTTATAACGCATCTATGAACAACAAAATTCTTTCTCATTTAAACTCCTGCACCCTCTCTTTTGTCCATCTTCGTAGAGAATACTCGAATACAAGAAAAGAAATTAAAGTTCCAAAACATGTTAAAATTTGCAATAATAAGAATTAAACAAAAAAATAATGCTCATGTTAAATAAAATACATTAACAATATAGACTGGTGATGTTTCAAACTTGAAGGAGCATCTCAGGAGAATATCAGCCTCCTGTACTTTCGATAAGAAAGAGAGTGGTCCAATCTCCAACCTTACCCAAAAAAATGAAAAAGAGAGAGTGGGGTACAATATCCTCTATATCGCGAGGCATTTTATCCATACTATGACCTATATGCTCTGGTGACACTGGCATACTCCGACGAACAAATCCAAACTAACAAAAAAGATTCTCAAAAACATTCCCACATGAGCCTTACATACGTGAAAAGAATAAGGGCCTTCATAAATCATAATGTCCTAGCTGTCAGTGTATAGAAAATCTTTAACGTTCAGATGAGAACATGAGGCCAAGTAGTTGTAGCTCCAAGCATCCAGGTAACCATGTTATCAATTGCAGTACCTCCAAAAGCCACATCCTATTGACACCAGAGTTGTGTCACATTTTTGTTCAAGCTTGTTATAGCTACCCGTTACAAGGGGGTAACCATGTTACACGAAACTCATCTAGTGGAACCAAAATTTCATTTTAAGGGCATCAGACCTAAAATCCCAACTAAGGCTTCCAAGGACTAAGCTCTAGATTTTTCTTTAACAAAAGAGAATAAGCTTTGGACTTTTCTTTAGTACTGTTAAGTATATCCATTCGTCCATAAAAAGAGTAAAACCCCACCCTAGAAGTTTAATAAAAGGTGGGTTCCAATCCTTAACCCTCAAAATGAGGGAACTTGTAATATACCCAACCTCCCAAGACTGAGTCAAGACACATCTCAGTTACTCCTTAATTCTTTATACAGAAACCATCTAACTGATGCATTCACAAACACTCCAACACGCCGATAGCAAAATACATTTCTAGCCGACCTTTCACATTCTTGGCTCATTTCCTCGCATTTTCATGAACACAACAAACTACACAGTAGAGCAACCTTGATAGTGATAAATCTCATTAGTATATAAATTAAATAATCCATAGATCGCAGATTAACCTTAAATCTCCAAATTAAATTGCAGATTAACCTTAAATCTCCAAATTAATTATAGAAAAAAGACCATCATTTACAGACCTGTGTATAGCCACATTTAGCGTGTCTATGCTATAGCGAAATGCTCTCCCTGATATATTTATTTCCGCTGTTAACCTTGAAATAAAAAAAAAAATTGTTTTTCCAAGAAAAATATTTTTCACGAAAAGAGAAAAAATAACTTTCCAACACATTGTTATAAGGTCCAAAATAAGTGATTTTTTTTTGGATGTTTTCACACAGATTAAGAAATTCACCTTTTAGCATTAATTAGTAATGAAATTGACCATGTTAACCTTTACTATCTCACATAAACACTCCTAACACATATTCCAACATTATTTACTCCAAGGACAATGTAGGAAAAAAATAATTAATTCATTCTTGAAATCTGAAAAAATCGCTTATTTTGGACCACAAAAAGAATACCAAAAAATCACTTATTTTGGATCGGAGGGAGTAATACTAAGAGAATTAAAAATATACTTTTTATTAAAAACTGTGCTGTCCGGGCTAATTTCATCAGATATCAGCTACCTCCGCTCAGACTACATTTTCATAAAAATACTATATTTATACCCTCATATATTATTTCTCGGAGCAAACATTAGAAATCATTTTCACTATAACAATTTTTTCCTTCACACCAAGAACCCAGTTAAATGGACAAATAACTTCAAAATCACAAAGGGAAAAAAAAAAGACATACTTCATAGGCAAAACCTCCTCCAAAGCCTCCAAATTATCCAAACCTCCTCCAGTTTTGAATGGACTCTGCACTTCCTCGCCATCCCCGTCACCGTCGCCGCCGTCCGATGAGGATCTTCCCGCCGGCGAATCGTCACTGTTTCTCCCGATTGAAGAACAAGACGAAGTAGCAGAGGAAATAGAGCTCCGATCTTCCTCCTCGTCACGAAGATCGCCGATGCCGAACTCTGGCGACTTGTAGATCGGAATAGACGTCATCCCGTGGCCAAATCCTGACCGTTCGATCCGAGGATCACTGCTATTATTCCTTTCCAACACAATCGACATATCTTCCAATCAGTTGTGAACAAGTATAAGATAGATATATAAGGACTAGAGTGTTTGTAAGTATATATTTAGTAGAGAGAGAGAGAGAAAGAGAGAGGAGTGATATTGGATGAGAGTCTAGAGAGAGAAGATGGAATAAAATGGGAGAAGATGAGAGCCTTATCTTTATCCAGACAAAGTAATCAAATAATGCAAGTTGGATAATTAAACAAACTTATCTTTTTATTTTTTTCAAACTAGGAAACTGAGGATTTACTAGTGTGCATCAGGCCCTGACAAAACCCAGTACTAGTAGTTTTTAGGTACCATCTGGACCGGTTGTCCCAATTATGATGTCCTCATAAGATGATAGAACTATCAGCTGCTCATTTCAGTTTACGAAAAAGGCCTAAAAATGCCTAACAATTTTTAGAAACGGTTTATTCATGTCGTCTGTCGTCCGTTAAAAAAATGTTAATTTCATGTCATTGCCGTTATATATTTGGTCCATCCATGATATTATTGACTAACGGCAGTGGCATAGATGGGCGAAATAAAAATTGAGTCGTTAGTCAATAATGACATGGATGAGCCAAATGTGTAACGACAGTGGCATAAAACGAGCTTTTAACGAATGACATGGATAAATCATTTCTGAAAGTTGAGTGGTATTTTTAGGCCTTTTTCGTTCATTTTATTTTATGTAATAGTATTTGTGATTGTAATATAACAATATTTCCATTTTAATATTATGCGTAAATTTTATCTCAACTAATTTGTAGTATTGTTAACTACCCACAACAAAGCAAGTAGTTTGGCGTCGTATTCCAAATGTGCGACATGATATGGGGTATAAAAAGTAGAAGTGCAAAATTTAATAAATAAAATTGACTAATAAAAATATTTTGTCAAAAATAAATAAAAAATTATTTAATGTGTTATGCTTTTTTATTCTCTCTATACTTTCACACCCTTCACACTTCGCAAAGAAAAAAATCTTTTGGTTGGTGCTTGACAAATTAATAAAATAAATTGGATGAAGGAAAAAAATACTAATAACTTTTGAGCAGAATTAGTCGGATTTTGAGTCATTATTTAGCTTATAATTAAATTGATTTAATGCATAATTTAGGTAAATTCAAACAAATTATATCAAGTGATTCAATTCGCTCTGAAATGTGTAAATCTAACAAGATCTACCTAGTTGGTACTCTTAAGCCAAAAAGGACATCGGATATTCTAAGGAAATGAGAATTTCATATATATATATATATATATATATATATATATATATATATATATATATATATATATATATATATATATATATATA